GGGGGGGGGGTGTTGCTATTTGAAAAAAAAAAAAGTTAGCCCCCGCTCCCCTTAAGGGGGGCCGCCCCCCAAAATTTTGGGGGGACCAAAAAGTTGCTACCTTAGACCGAGGAACATTCCCAAAGTTTCAAACTTCTATCTCAATTTGGAAAGAAGTAACAGGGGTGGTCAGTGACTTTTGGATAACCCTGTATAAAAAAGGTACGAGTGGATCTTCTGTTTGGAATTGTCTTAAAAATGGTTCGACTGCATTTGCCAAACATACCACAAAAGTAAGTTTGACAGGGAGCAATGGATCTTCTAAATGTTTTTTGATAACAGTAAAGTTCTCACTGTGCGAAAAATTTTTGTCTTTCTCAGCACATTCTATGAATTTTTTTAATGAAGGAATGATTTCCAGCATCCTTTCTATAACAACAATATTTTCAACCCATCGTGTGAGACAGAACTTTAATGGAAATTTATCAGTCTTTGTGTAAAAAATAAATAAAGCTTTCCTTGAAGGAAAATTATGAAAAAAATAGAATGAACTTATGAGAAATTTTTGAGTACCCCATTTTAACTCTTTAACGCTTACTTTAAACGCATTACTAACAACATGCAGACTGCAGGTTCCCGTTTCTAACATTTTAGGACCTTTACCTTCATTTAAAACAGCTTTTTCATCTATTAAATCTTGTTTCATTTTCAAATTGACATTTGGACCGTCCATAGACAAATAAATAATCTCATTAAAATCAATGGGTTGTGCAGCTACTTTTAGGTTTTCAAGGAGATCAGTTGCTTTAGCTGAACCTAAAAAAGCTGAGTTGTAGTATCTGGTACTTAATTGTTTTTCACCATCAGGCCAAAATCTGAGGCACACATCCATTTGAGTTTTTTGGGACACTTTATTTAAACTTTCATCAAAAGCTACGGCCACTACAGGACACCTTAAAATTTGTATTTTTAGCTCGTTTTTAAAAAAAGGGAGCTAGCCCATAAACAATGGAATAGGAAACCTTATCTTTGTGCAAACGAATATGTTTTGCAATATCGCTGTCAGGACAAATGGCCGGTAAAAGGTCTACAAATTTTTCCGCCCCCCTCAGAGAGCCATGGCTTGCTACATTCAAAAGACAGATTAGTATTTCAGATTTTGACGCATCATCCGAACTGTGCTGATTCTGGGATTGGTTAGAATTATTATTTTTAGCTACAGGCTGATGATCAGGTAAATTAACTATTTTCTTCTCCGAAGCCGGAACCTCCAACACGGGGTCTGTTGTAGTATTCTTTGCACTTGTAACATTAGAAGAATCCTTACCACTGACAGCTGGAAGTAAAAAATTGACATGACAAGTTTCAGATTCAGGCTTTCGGATATGATATTGGTGTTTCTTGCTTTCCATATGGCTCCTAAGTGCGGTTGCACCCATATTGCTTAGTTGGATAACGGCTGGGCACAATTTACAACCTGCAGCCATAGATAAGTTCTCGGGAATTTTTCTGATCCAGGAACTATATCTAGGATGCAGCAGCCAAGCATCATTGAACTTACATGCCTCGAGTGCGCCTTCATGCTATCAACAAAGAAGATAATAGTACGGATTAATCAAAGAACAAATGAAAAAAGGGGTCCTGACAAAACAAGAAAAGTTAGGTAATCACAGCTATCAACTTTCAAGTTATCAATCTTTAAGTGGTTTTATTTCCCATCAACTTTCAAAAAAATAGGAGGCCATTCTGACGTTGCCGATTAGTATCTCATTTTGGGTTGATTGCCATCACTCCAACCTGGAGACAATGGTTTGAAGATTCAAAATTTTGACTAAGAACTTCATAGTTATTCGGGAATCAATTAGCTAAAAATGTTAAAGCGTACTTGGATCCTAGCAAGTACCATGATTTCCTTTAGTTTCTTTACATGAAGTCATCTTGGATACGCCAGCCATCAAGGCTTTACCACCAACATGGTTGATTAATGGCTCACATGAAAACCTCCTACTTAGGACTCAACATTAAACGCACATAACAAGTCTTGAGTTTTGGATTTTATTGGGCTCAGGTAATACCTCCACTATTTGAGCACTCTCGACAGTGACTGCTAGGACAAAACGAAAGATTTACTTCTATACATTCAGACAGAAACTAATATAAGGAACACTAGTATTCAATAGCCTTAAGGAGAGAGACCAAATAATAAGAGGGATGCTGAATGTTACACATGTTAAACTTTCAATTACACATTAAAAGAATGACATGAGACTGACACGACAGAATTGGCTTTTCATCTCACTTAGTCACTTAGTAGCAAATCTTTGCCTGAAGGATGAAAGTTACAATTTAGGTAATGTTGCCTATGACAATAAAATCGACATAAAATTAAAATGACTTACTTTGAATTTAGTAGCATCCAATTCGTTTCATCCTCGTCCTTCTTCACGCGGCACTGCGTTTGGTGAACTTGAACTTTGAGGTTAATTTGATGAAAATCGCGTGGCCGAACCGGGCGCAGCGACTTCCGCCAGAGCGCGCTAGCGATCAGACAGAAGGGAATCAAGTAGCGCCGCTTGACTAGGCAACCACACACAACGCATTTCGTAAATACACGTAAGAAGTTGACAAAACTTGCACGAAACTTCTTGCGAGATCGCGGTTACACTTGGCGTATTGCGATCTCGTCGCTTTTTGAAAAAATTCCTCGAATTCAACTTTTCGCGAATTCCCTGACGTTTTCCCTGACACTCCCACTTTATGCGAATTCCCTGACGTTTTTCCCGGTTTTCCCTGACTCAAAAAAAATTCCCTGACGTTTCCCGGTTTTCCCGGTTGCTAGACACCCTGTCGGATTGTGTGACGTGTGACGCAGGGGCACGCTCGACGGACGAATCGTTCGCAACGATGTCAAGTATGATAACGCATTGGGTACAATTACTACTAACATTTTTCTTGTTACTCATTGTTTTTATTCACTTCACTTGTTTAAAATTCCTCCCAAAAATTTCGAGGAAAAAGTTGCAAAAATATTGAGACTTTGTTTCAATTTTCCTGCAATCTTCTTCCAATAAAGTTGCAAAAAAAGTCACGCCAAAAAGTTGCAACTTTTCTATGATGTTTTTGCAACAAGTTGCAACTGTGGCTACTTGGGATGTCTCAAATGGAAATGCAAAATCTAATTTACCCATACGTCTCACTACTCATGCTTGTACATTTATGTGCATTTTGTTAAAGAAATTATAAGTATACATATTAAAAACTTGATTTATTTTTATTTCACTTGTTTAAATATACATTTTTTTTACACAGGATGGCTTATTATAAAGAGCTCCTCAACCCTCGACTCATGTCCTTGGTTCTTGCGGATGAATTTTCCCCATTAAAAAAGCACACCAATTATCTACACATCAAAATGCAACTGGTAAAAATCAACAATACAGGCTCTATAAAGGAGGGGTATCGATAAGGGCCTTTTTTGGCCCCCCTTTTTTTTTTTTAGAATCTGAGTATTTATGCGGGTTTTCCAAGTTGACTCAATGTAGTTTACGGGAATAATCATGATTTGGTTCATAGGTCACTGGATAAGTGTTGAACGGTTGCCTGAACATACGTCTGCAGGCACTTTTTGGTGAAAATGCGTGTTTTTCTAACACACTGAAGCTTTTTTGACATCGAGCGCATTGTCTAACTAAAATGAGCTTTTGATATGTTATCGAAGAAGCTTTAAGGACACATTTTAACCCTGGTTTGGTTTTAGTTAGATGATGAGCTCATATTTTAAAAAAACTTTTTCAAAAGTCGACTTTTAAGGGACATCCGTTAAAATCTTGGAGAATTACGTCGTTAGGGTTTTTTTTTGGCTTCAATCAAAGAAAATCTCCTTGTAAAATTTTAAAAAGGCTTGACAACTGCCCTTGATAATATATGTAGCGTGCATACAGTTGGAGAGATGTGTTATCATAAGATTTTTGCGGGTGTCCCTAAAAAGTCGACTTTTAAAAAAGTTTTCTTTAACTATGAGGGCATCATCTAACTAAAACCAAACCAGGGTTAGAATGTGTCCTAAAGTCTCCTTGATAACATGTCAAAAGCTCGTTTTAGTTAGACGATGCGCTCGGTGTCAAAAAGCCTCGGAGTTACAGAAAAACACGCATTTTCGCTAAAATACGCCTGCAGACGTATGTTCAGGCAACCGTTTAACACATATCCAGTGGCCCATGGATCAAATCATGATTATTTCCGTAAACTACAGTGAGTCAACTCGGAAAACCCGCAAAAATTCCCAGATTCTAGGGGGGGCCAAAAAAGGAAGGCCCTCTAGGGAGGACCAAAGAGGCCCTTATCGATACCTCTCCTTTCACAATGCTATGGCGACTATTATCTAAAGATTGTAATTTTTGGAACTTCCCCCAAATTTACTCAAATTCTTTAAAGTATGCTTGATGTGCAGTGAATGCTCTCTGTAGTTCCAACATGTTGTAGGGAACCCCTCAAGAGACTACCCCCCCCCCTCCTTCCCCTTGCAGGACTTAAATACTAGCTACTTATCAGGTGCGGTGAGTCTTATCTAGATACATTAGCAGAGTTGATACGATTCGGTAGCTGGATAGACGCCCAGTAAATATTTGGGGAATACTTCTTTCATAAAAAGGTTTTACAGGCAAGATGGAAAAGAGTACATGGATGAAGCCACAGTTCAGTACATAGATTAGAAACTTTTCTCTAACATGCGCATTGTTAAGAGAAACAAGTGCAGCTAACACCAGCCACGAACAAAGCTCCACCAAGAGTCATTACTGGAATCACTTGATGAGACACGTATCCTGTCACTTTCTTGCCTTTCCCACAAGCCAGGAGTTTGAATTATCTAAACAGAGAAACAGAAATACTTTAGCCAACTGGATTATTTTCTCAAGGAGATTGAGTTACCAGATGTGTTTGGTCCATTTGCATCTGTTTACAAGTTAAGTTAAAAACACTGAATGAGGCTCAAACTTTAAGTAACAGGATGGTTGAATAGTGCTGGATCCATACTATTGTGCCAGGAAATCAAAGCCAAAAAAATTCTAATAAAATATAGTTGTCAGAGTTAAAAGACTGAGAGGAGAAATTGTTCAGCATAGGCAGATGTTTTCGACACTGACGAGTGTGATCTATTGATGAGGTCTGAAAAGACCCAAATCGATATTGATCTCTCAGCATGACCCCACTTCAGTATTCCAATGCATCTGCCTGAGCTGAACTCTCCTCCCTCACTCTTACACTGATAACACTAGTCAACACGGGTGAATTTGCTGATTCCGGGCAGAATTTCAGTGCTGATTCCGAAAATGACCTCTATTCTTTAGGGTCAGGTCGATTTTTCCGAGGTCAATTTTCCCCGGGAAAATCGGGATTTTCTCTGAAAACCCAGCTGTTTCAGAGAAACATCAATTTTCTGGAAAAGGACCCCGCACACCCCTTATCGGAGTGTGCATTACAATCGATTTCCAATCTTCTTATTGCATTAAATTCGTTTTAGGATGCTGATCCAAAGTCGTCATTGCACCACCTTTCTACAAGGCACCGTTTTTGCAGTATTCCGCATAGTCCGTGGTGGAAGTTTTCTTACTTGAATAAGTGAGGCCAGCGAGGCAATACCTATCTTTCAGCACTTGCTGAAAATGAAGAGTACGTGGCAGTCCTATCTTGGATTCGTGCGCCTTTTCGTTTCACCATCCAAATCAGATTCTTTCTCTCTCCCACTCTTTTCCTGACCTATCACCAGCTAAGACTTTCCATGTTAAATCGCTGCGCTGGCCTCACTCATTCAAGTAATTATCCAAACTTCCAGCGCGGACTGTGTGAAACACTACAAAAATGGTGCCTCGTAGAAAGTTGGCGCAAAGATGACTTCTGATCAGCATCCAAAAACAAATTTCATGCAATAAAAAAATTTGAAATTGATCGTGGTGCACATTCCCATGAAGAGTGTGTGGGGTCCTTTGCTTACAATGGAGAAATACTTAGGTCATTTTCGGCTTCAGCAGCAAAAATCGAGTGTTATGGTCTTCGCTTGATAACTGAGAAAACATTTTTCCCCCTCCTTTCCAGCGCAAAACAATGGGATGAGTTTTACATGATGTCATGCGGGCATAAAGGAGCACATGCCTGGAAAAATCTCGATATTAGGAACAGAAAGGAAACTTTAACTGGCATGCCATACATGGTTTCCTCTATAATTTTGACTGCTGAATCCGGAAATGTCCCTAGTATTTCTCCAGCATGTACAGATTTGCCAGGTAAAATATATTGCTCTGGAAGAGTTTGATTCTTAAGGAAAATTTCGATTTTTCTAGGGAAACTTGACCTGACCCAGAAAAACGGAGGTCATTTTTGGAATCAGCGCTAAAAACCTCACAAGGGGTGCCCGAGATATTTTAGGCAAATCTAAAAAAGTATGAATTTGTTGACCAGTGTAATTAGTAGAGTTTATATTTTAGACTCTAATGAAAAATTTTTGGCTTTGATTTCCCCACAGAAAGGTGCAGACCCAGCTATATTCTACCATCCTGATATTTACAAGTTAACTTGTTAGTATTTGTCCCGAGACAAATGACCCTGCGCAAGTTAATTTACAAGATTGAAGGTTGAGGATCTTTTATTGGGGTTGTTGGTAATGCTTAGTATCATAATTTAGAAACCTATGGATAAAACAATTGCTAGATATTTGTGTAGCATTTTGTTAAGTTTTCAAAAGTTATGAGGGAAGCACAAGTGACAAAAGTGGGTGGGTGGCACTGTTGTAGCAGCTTATCTCTGACAAAAGCCAGCACAGGGTGACAACAAAGCCTTTGGAATCCTCAGTTCTGATTCTGCTAAGTTGATATAAGCACATTCGTTCAGCAAACAAGCACGTTTCTGCAATTTCTGCCTTATCAGACTCACTAATAATGAGTTGCATCAATTTTTGCAAAACAAGTTTAGGTTATATGTCCATTTAGGCGGTGCATCAACGTTAACCTGAGAACTATTCCTTCCTTGCTGCTGCAACATTGCCAGGCAAAGGTGCCTTTATCAGTTTCACAAGCACTGACGCAATATTTATAATGTTACATGAAGTTTTAAAATATTTGAAACCAATTTTTTGGGTCAGCACACTAACCGCCTTTCCTCTATAAGTACTCATATCAAATTGAGCAACAGTAAAGCTGCAAAACAGCCGCACATAAGGTCGTAGAATCAGCAAGATGCATAACCTAGCAAAAACTGAGCAAGATCACTTTGAATGCTGCCTGTTCAAGTGTGTTAGGATACCTAAACCTGTTGGCGGGACCTTATGATCTAATGAAAATTTTCACTGCTCCACAGCTTATTACCAAATCAAGGTTTTAGAGTGCTTTTCTCCAATTGAATTCACGAAGAATTTTGTAATTTCCTATCACAGTCCAATTTTGTTAGAACGGAATTTTCTGGAAACTGTTCTAACACTCAAAGCTCGACACTGAGATATAAAACGGCTTTGACTAAGCTACCTTTCATAGTAAGACATAACCCATCATTTGAGGGCTATAATGCATGGACTAGGCGCATGAATATATCACTTACATGTGCTACTAGGTCTTCAAAAGCATTTACAACATTGACATTCTCTTTAGCACTGGTTTCCATGTAGAATGTGGCATTCCTTCGAGCAAATCTGCTTCCTTCCTCTCTACTAACTTGTCTAGGACTCTGGAAATAAGATTTACCATTACAAGAGATAATTTATGATAAAAATGATTATACATTGGCGAAATACATGCCAAAAATAATGACAGTAAAGTCTGCAAAAGTTAGAAAATATGAAAGATAAATTTCTTGTTTAATGGAAAGAGATAATACACCATCACTAAACCTTGTTCAGCTCGAAAAAAGAACCAGTTGTTGAGTACTAGATTAAAGTACTTCAGTACTTAAGTGCACTGTTTTCAAAAACGTCCACCTTCAGGGTTCCATTGAGTGGTTAAGCCACCTACCCAAACTTGTCCGTGAACACAAGCATACTTAACAACTATGTAATATGAAAGTAAACAATCTGACACATTTGCTGTTTGTAAATAATATAAACAGAGCACAACCTTTTGAAACTAATTGCGGCAAAAATAAAAGAGGGTATTTAATTTGATTTTGTGGAAGTGAAAACTCACCACCCCCGAAACTTGAAAATATCCTAATTTAATTTTCATAAAAGCCATTGAAGATGGCACATCTACATCAACTTGGGCCTTTCAAGTAGTCAGATCCCAAAGTATTTGTCCTTTAGCACCAAAAAGCTATTTTTTAGACCAACCTCTTCACCTACTGCGCAGTTTTACAAGTCTCTTGAACATTTGGTTGGAATGGTTCTTTTTTATGTGAGAGTTTTATTGTTGCTAATCTCCATTGGGATTTCAGTAGTGTCTCGTGTGAATTACAGTGTGAGTCAATATAAATGACTTGCTGTTTTATAATGTAAAAAGTAGATGTGAAATTGAAACAAACTATCCCTCTCATTGTCATTCTAAAAGTTATGACAGTATAATCCCCCATTTTATAATGGGGGAAAATCGATGTCCCCAAAATTAATCAAGGTCAATAACCGGTTGTGGATTGAAGGTTCTAAAGGGGACCAATTTGCTTGCTCACACATTTTGTCCTTACTGGATTAAATATTATAGAGCGCCAGAGAAAGCTGCTGTGAAAGCGGCTCTTACGCGTGTAAATGAAGCTTACCATATCTGTTTTGTTACCAACCACCATTTTCTTCAAGCTGCTTTTTGTAGCGTAAGTGTCGAGTTCATTTAACCAAGTTTCTAGTTTTTCAAAAGACTTCCGATTGGTGACATCAAAGACTAGAATGGCTCCTTGCGCATCACGATAATAACTGGGTGTTAGAGTGCGAAATCTTTCCTGTCCAGCAGTGTCCTGTTTTCAAAACAATGTACACAAAAAATTAAATCAATACTCCCATAGCAAACAAGATACTGGCACAATTAACTACTTTCTATAAGATATGTTAGAATTTCTTGTTATTTTCTTTAGATTTATGCTTTATAAATAAGATTATTATCATTGAAATAAGTATTCCCCAGGGGAACATCCTCGGTCCTCTCTTATTCTTGCTGTATGTATATTGCCTATATAAACAAAATTCTAGAGTATGGAACAGCAACTGATTTTGTTGATAACAAAACGGTAATGTTCAAACACCTTAATATGCTCCAGCTGCTATTGCAGGCTGAAAATGATCTAAAAAATCTTTATGGCGTTTTTTAAGCCATGAATTTAAACTTTAATTTTATCAAATCAGTTTGCATCTTGTTCAATAAGAGGGCAGAGTTCCAAGAAATAACTTGTGGAAAGAATCAATTGGCGAAAGTTAAATCAACCAAGCTATTCGGTTTGATTTTACAAGAAAATGTGTCCTGGCAAGAACACATAAAGAGTGTTGTGAAAACGGAAGGATCCTACAGCTACGCCATTAAAAGACTCGAAAAAATTTTGCCAAAAAAGGACCTTCTTAATATATATTATGCGTTTGTAAAGTCAACGTTAAAAAATGCAATTATCTTTTGGGGTGGTGCATCAAGTGCGCAAGAAGTCCCTGTTTTACAAAAGTAAATTCTAAGGAATACGTATGGATTAGATTATAGAAGCTCATGTAGAGCTATTTTTAAAGAGCAGAAAATGTTAATGGTCATAACCCTGTACATAAAGGAATCAATTCTCTTTATGAATGAAAATATGTCTCTCTCTTTAGCAGAGACAATCCTGGCTACAATAATAAAATTATGAACAACATAAAAGTAGAAGATAAGGTAGATAAAAAAGTTGTCAAAAGCAATTTTATATAACTTTAAAATTCGTTGCCAGAAAGTATTAAAAAAATTGACCACCCACATGAATTTTAAATTACTATTCAAAAATGTTTTAAAGATAAGGTACACTTCACCACAAAAGAATACCTGGAAGAGAAATGAGCTGTTTAAAATAAATTGTTGTAATAAGTGTTAGTTTCTGTACTTTAGTATCTACTCATTGTTACCTCTCTACTCTTGAACTATGACTTTGTTTTCATTTTTTTCTTTTTACACAGTGAAACAATAAATTTTATTCTATTCTATTGAAAGCCTATCAGCTGTTCAAAAACAACTTGAAAGCGCATGCATGAGAATTGGTGTGGAATTGATTGGATGATTGATTATCGCCGGATCGATTCCAAGGAGCAAAAAAAAGAACAGTACTAAATGAAAGTAGTGGGTTGCAGGTTTAAGCCTGCGTTCATTCTGGGGAAACGATGAGAAACGGAGGTGTGATTTTTCAAGGTAGATGCAGCATATGGGAACCTTGTATGTTTCTGAACCCAAGGTCACCTGCGCTCCCGCTTCAACCTTATGTTATGAATTTTCGCGCTTTTAAACTTCTAGTCGTTCTGATCAGATAATGATCAGAAAATCAGGATTTTTAAACATTACGTAAGGGGCAAAAGGGGGCTCAAAGTGTCGATTATGTCTTACTAATAATTCATAGTAGAAAAATTGGATTGAAATTTAGAGGAGGCTATGAGTTTTCACTTCAAGTATACATATGCAACTGATCCGTGTTAAAATTTGATGTTTTGTCGAACAAAACCAAAAAATCATTGGTAACATTCTTGTCTAGGCATGGTAAATGTCTATTTTTGACCAAAACTCAGCTGTCTATGACCATTCATAGAGATGAAATTAATATTTGAGGCGTCATGGATGATTTGACGGTGTTTTAATGTCAACACCTAAGATTGATGATGAGAATCACCTATTGCCCACACAACACAACATACCACAAACTTATGGGAACCTATTCGAAACTCATCAGCCTTGCTCAGTGTCATGTGATGGACTTGAAGTTATCACCTAAAATGATGGAAAAACGTAGGAAACCTACAATTTAAATCTAGAAAACTGTGTTATTTCATGGAATAACTAGCATAAGGAAAGAAAAAAACGCACACAAAAACACGATGTCAAAAATGGATCACATTTATCCGGAGGGAATTATTGTGACATAAGTGTTGCAAAAATTACGCCTCTTCATCTTCAGAATGACTAGCAATTTAAATAAAAAAATTCCTTGACATATCGCCGATTTCCTTGACGAAACGGCCAAAAGACCAGGAAAAAGTTTAAAATTCCCTGACAGACGGAAAAAATCTTTCCCTGAAAAAAAAAGAAAAATATTCCTAATTTTTGATACGGTTGAACTGATTACATGAAAGTAAGAATTTTTTCATGTTTTAGGAATATAATGTGATACATACAGAAAAATGTATGGTACCTAAACTTATGCCAGATATTTTTGTCTAATTCATAAAGCTTAAAAGACAAGAGCAGAAACTCTGGTAGAAACTTTGATACAAATCTCCATGAGAGTAAAATTCGTGAAACATTTCCCGAAAAATTCGTATTTTTTGATTTCCCTGACACTGAAATTGCTTGCAAAATAAAATTCCCTGTCATTTCCCGGTTTTCCCAGGTGCTAAACACCCTGATCTTGATCTAAAAGAATACCTCAGATAGCAAATAATTTCTATTTTTCTGCGGAAAATTGTTCATTATAAAGGAAAAATACCGTGTAAATTTTATTACTGTGCATTAACCCAGTACTTATAAAGCAAAGAAGTTGTGCGATTTTGAAGTTGCACGGTTTTGAGATGTTGACTGTAATCACACAGATTTTTTTCTGCTGAATTGAAATCCAAATATCCCCTGAAGAAACGAATTTCATTATCATCGTTGTATACAGGGTTATCCAAAAGTCACTGACCACCCCTGTAACTATTTTCCAAAATGAGATAGAAGCTTGAAACTTTGGCAATGTACCTCGGTCTAAAGTAGCAACTTTTTGGTCCCCCCAAAATTTTGAGGGGGGGCCGCCCCTAAGGGGGCGGGGGCTAACTTTTTTTCTCCAATAGCAACCCCCCCCCCTTTGTGATACCTCATTCGAAAGATAATAAAAAAAAATAAATTTTTGGCGCAAACTGCATAGTCCGGGTTCTTATGTACTCCCGTGGAACGGTAAGTGAAGCAAGTGTGGAAAATATCTTAATCTCTTCATTTCGATGCGTAAAAAAAGAATTTCGATGTTGTCAAGCTCAATTTTGCGTCTAACCCCCCAAAATCAAGATGGCGGCCAAAATGGGGGCTCGGGGGGTGAAAATTATGGAATTTGATTTTGATGTCATGACTGGGGTCAATTCTTGTGTAATTTTGGTCGTAAAATCCGAATTTGAGGTTCAAAATACTCTCCGACCCAAAGGGATGCCCCAAATCCAAGATGGCCGCCAAAATCTCCAAGATAGGGTCAAAACTGCGATACGTATGTAAAAGTGCCAAGTAGGGTGTCCTTGGTAGGGTTCTTTGGGTCGTAGATTTCACCTATGATGTCAAAAACTTACCACGGATCCATTGAAGCCCAAAAAAATCAAAATGGCGGCCAAAAGGGCTGCCGTTGCGGGGTGAAATATTTTGTTGAGACAAATATCGTCGAATGAGGTGTCACTGTACAGGTTTTTGGGGTCGTAGATTCCAAAAATGAGGTCCAAATAACAAAATAAGCTGATAGAAGTTCTCCAAAAGCCAAAATGGCGGCCATAATGGCTGCCGCCCAGGCATTGAACGCGTTTGAACAGTAGGGTGTCCCATTTTGGACGTTACAAAAAAAAATTGCGAAATCCAATAGAGATACCTGCCATAAAGTTGTCTCATAGTTAGAAAAAAAAACACAAAAAAATCTCAGGGTCGTAGCTAAAGTTTGAGTGGTCCCGCAAGGTACTTAAGATGTTTCACCGATTTCTCATCTTGGCAATCTTGGCGATCTTGCAGATTTTTTTTCGGTAAATGCAATCGAGGTAAAAAGTCGCAAATGCGGATAATGAGACTTCTGATACTATATTTTAAGAGAAAAATAACGGTTTGGACCCACGAGGATCAGAATCCCTCGTTCTTAGCTCTCAAAATGCAAAAATCAGCGATTTTAGCATTTTGTAGTCAAACCGCTGCTCGACCGTCGCTCGACTTAAATGTCGCGGCATTTGACGCGCTGTTTCACAATGATCCCATTGTAGGAGTAAAAAGTCCTTCAAGTATGTTCATTAGAGGTGTAAGAGTGTCACTTTGGCCAATTTTTGTTGCTTTTAAACATTGAGCTCATTGTTTAAAATGTTTTTTGTTTTTTTTTTTTTTGTTAATATAATTTTCCTGTTTTTCATCATTTTTTAAAATGGTTTAAAAAGGGCGACTCATCTTACACCAAAATTGAACTCCTTTGGCGAACAATGTACGTAGATGGTCAAATACTTCCTCTAAAAAAGTTTTTGGATTCAAAGCCTCCCAAAAAAGCCGATGTTGCCATATTTTATCCCCCGGAAAACACAAAAAACCGAGTACCTATTTCAGTATTTGGAGGCTGTTCATCACCGAGCTCATTGAGCAAATTTCAGCAAACCTTGAATTTTCATACGTTATGACCACATTACTAGTGATTATGTCCATGTGTTTATCTATACAGCCTCCCACCGCGGCGCGACGTTGCCACATACCATCGATAAAATTCGAAAGAAATCTGCGTTTCCTTAGATTTGAGCCATTTTTTCGGATATTGCACATGGAATACTTACGTAAAACTTAAAATGCAGTATTCAGAGATGGAAAGGGATCATACCTTGTGGCAATAATCATTATTATAAGATCCTGCGCTTATTGACGACCCATTTCTTACGAATTCTAAGCATGATGATTGTGATGTCTCCTAATCTTAGGGAGTGCAAACTCCTTGAAGGACTTTGGGAGGGTAGAGGAATTTCCACTTTGCGGTTTGAGAAAAAAATGGGGAAATTACGAGGCAGCATTCTTAGCAATCGGTACTCGTCCTAAAGGACGGGGGTGGGGGGGAGGGCTAGGTTTAAGGGTGGGCAAAATTTCATCATTGAGCACCCGAGTTTTTGAAATGTGGCACTGTTTCCTGTAAACCTAGCCCTCCCCCCCCCACCCCCGTTTTTTGAACATAAGAACCCGGACTAGCAGGTCAAAATGTTAATTTTTGACAAAATGGCGGCCTGTCAAAGTTCAAAATGGCGGAAATTTGGCATCTCCCTTTTTTATCGGCGGATTGGTCTGAAACTCAGAATCCTAGGGTTTTTCGAGACGAAAAAAACGATTCTGGCATTGGTTTTCCAGAAAAGTCGGTCCTTTTCAAAATGGCGGCCTAGCGCGGGAAGTGGATATTTAGGCTGCTTATCGTTGGATTTGCAGGAAACTTGGTATCCGGGGGTATTTCGGCACGAGAAGAACGAATCTTTCATTGGATATCTGAAGTTCCGACAAATTTCAAAATGGCGGCGGAAAAATGGCAGGATATCAGTTTTACAGCTGTTTACTGATGGATTCGCATGAAATTCGATATCCTGGTGGTTTTTGGCTGGATAAAAAGGAATCTTCCGTCAGATTGTTGAAATATTAAATAATCGATATCGAATTTCATGCGAATCCACCGGTAAACAGCCGTAAAACTGATATCCCGCCAATTTTCCGCCGCCATTTTGTATTTGTCGGAATTTCAGATATCCAATGAAAGATTCGTTCTTCTCGTGCCGAAATACCCCCGGATACCAAGTTTCCTGCAAATCCAACGATAAGTAGCCTAAATATCCACTTCCCGCGCTAGGCCGCCATTTTGAAAAGGACAGACTTTTCTGGAAAACCAATGCCAGAATCGTTTTTCTCGTCTCGAAAAACCCGTAGATGCTGAATTTCAGACCAATCCGCCGATAAAAAACGGAGTTGCCAAATTTCCGCCATTTTGAACTTTGACCGGCCGCCATTTTGTAAAAAATCAATATTTTGACCTGCGGTTTGCGCCAAATTTTTTTTTTTTTATTATCTTTCGAATGAGGCATCACAAAAGGGGGGTTGCCATTTGAAAAAAAAAAAAGTTAGGCCCCGCCCCCCAAAATTTTGGGGGGACCAAAAAGTTGCTGCTTTAGACCGAGGAACATTGCCAAACTTCTATCTCAATTTGGAAAAAAGTTACAAGGGTGGTCAGTGACTTTTGGATAACCCTGTATAGACGGATTATGTCTTGTGTGTTAAAAATAACTTACCCAAATGGCTAAGCGAACAAGATTTCCATCCACATTAACCTTTTTGGTCCGGAAGTCAACACCAATTGTCAATGCTTGGGATGGGTCAAAACTATCATCACTGAACCGCAGTAATAAACTGGAACACAAAGTATGGTTATTACTGGAGTTGTTCAAACGGACGGAATAGAGGCCAACAGTTGATTATCACTTCTTTCTCGACCAGTTACTTATGTGTGGTGCGCTTTTTGTACAAAAACCTCGCTGTTTGTTTAGAAACCCAAAATTACCAGGTATATATGGGCATTTTAAAATAAACATATCACATTTTTACCTACAGGGTGGGCATAAAGTAACTGAAAAGTGTCTATAACTTTGAACAAAAAGAGATAAAGGGTTCCGGTTTGGACCATTGTTCATTGTGGGAAGGGGCTGATTTTTCCAGGGGGGCTCATTAATAGGGCCCCCCAAGGGAGCCCCCCCCCCAGGGGGGGCAGCTCGAGATTTTCAAATGGCAACCCCCCCCCTTTGTGATACCTCATTCGAAAGATAATAAAAAAGAAAATTTTTGGCGCAAACTGTAGGTCAAAATGTTGATTTTTGACAAAATGGCGGAAATTTGGCATCTCCGTTTTTTATCGGCGGATTGGTCTGAAACTGAGATTCCAGGGGTTTTTCAGGACGGAAAAAACGACTCTGGCATTAGTTTTCCAGAAAAGTCAGTCCTTTTCAAAATTGCGGCGGTTAAAATGGCGGCCTAGAGCGGGAAGTGGGTATTTAGGCTGCTTATCGTTGGATTTGTATGAGACTTGGTATCCGAAGGTATTTCAGCACGAGAAAAACAAATCTTTCATTGAATTTTTGAAATTTCGAAAACATTTAAAATGGCGGCAAAAAATGTATGGAAATCCATATCACGGCTGTTCACCGATCGATTAACACGAAAGTGAAAATGGCAACCCCTCCTACTCGAGGAGTGGTTTTACTTCAGGGTTTTACTTTACAGGGGGAGGGGGGGGGGACTTCACTTTCGTGTTAATCGATCGGTGAACAGCCGTGATATGGATTTCCATACATTTTTTGCCGTCATTTTAAACGTTTTCGAAATTTCAAAAATCCGATGAAAGATTCGTTTTTCTTGTGCTGAAATACCCCCGGATATTTCGAATGAGGTATCACAAAGGGGGGGGGGGTTGCCATTTGAAAATCTCGAGCTGCCCCCCCTGGGGGTAGGGGGCTCCCTTAGGGGGCCCTATTAATGAGCTCCCCTGGAAAAATCAGCCCCTTCCCACAATGAACAATGGTCCAAACCGGAACCCTTTATCTCTTTTTGTTCAAAGTTATAGACACTTTTCAGTTACTTTATGCCCACCCTGTATGTATATGTATGTATTAGATTATTAGGTGTCATTGATGTTCCAGCGATGATGTCAAGTAACTATTTTAAATAATTAAACATATTCAAAGAAATTAAATTATCCACCTCCACCGCAGGCCTTACTTGTCTCTTTTGTTCATTTTTTTTTGTCTTGTACATTCTTATCTTACTTTAATAAGGGTAGCAGCTTTTTTCCTTCAATTTTAAGTGTTTCTTATTATGGCCTCGTTTTAGTTGGTAGTGGCATTTATGTAATGGGTATTGAATTGCTGAAAATTCAGTCCTCTTGAGTTTTTCAATTTCATTCTGCGGGATTGGTTTTGAGTGAATCTTGTCCTGACATTTGTAACAGTTTACCTATGTGGAGTTGCTATTCTAGAGTGTCCTATGTGGAGTTGCTATTCTAGAGTATCTTGCCTCTTTGATTTTATTTGTAACTGCTCTTACCGTGTCATTGGGTCACCTTATACTTATATTCATATATTATCTTACTGTACCCTGAAAATGATATCACCAGTTGTTTAAAGTCGATCAAAACAGTTGATCCTGTACAAATGGTCTGCCCGTTTAAGTGTTGATAAATAGGTCTCATTTCTCTTATTATGCAAGTGAACCTGACGGCTTTCTCAGTGGCTTGTCGCTGCTTTGTTAACACATATCGTTTAAGACCCCAATAACTCGAGGTGAGAAATCAACAATTGAGGGGAGCCTTAAAAGTCACCAACAAGGAAGCTGAGCCACTGAATATTTTTTGAGAACCAAGGTCGTGCATTAGATAACAGCAGATTGACCTTCAAGGTTGCCTGGTTTCATGAAATTTTAACGGCAGGCTATGAAACATGGCATTTATTGGAAGCAATCGCAGTGAAACCTTAGTAACTATCAATATTACTAAATATGTTTTAAACCATAACTATACCATTATTGCAAGAATATTCTGAGGAATGAATATTTCCAGAATATTCATTCTAAATGGAAGTACTCAAACTAACCACACCTCTTTGAGTGAAAATTAATTATAAATAGGAATATACAGATAGGAGACTATTCATTACATACATAGTGCTCAATTTTCGATTGATCACTCTCCCTCCCCTTTCGTAATGCCTTAGTGACCTAAGGCCCCATTCGTTAGCATTTCAAAATATAATGGTGTGACAATCACTCAAACACCCCTTTGGGTGTCTTATATTTTATGAGCCACCCCTCAGACAGAGAAAAAGCAACTTGAATGTTTTACTCACACTGAGGCTAGGCCCTACTCATCTGGGGTTGAAGACAGAATGTGTCCAGTTGACAATGATAACTTACAAGTCAATCGGACATCGCAGTATCAGAGGATAAATTAAACTCTTCATACAAATTATTAATGATGAAACTTCTTTGTTTCCATCTAAAAATAATAGTGAATCAATGCTAGAAGTGATAGGCAATGGCATGGAAAAGTAAGTGAAGATTTCACAAATTGATAGCTCATAATGCGAATTCGAAATCACCTGCGCACTTCACCTATATCAACGAACAAAGGTCTTCTAATATTACATAGCAATAAAGGTACTCTACATAGCAACAGTGAAACACGCACATTGAACATTGTATGCACCGCTCAACACGAATGAGCACCGATTCCGTGCAGTTTCGGGGTCAATTGCTGAATTCAACCATGGATTCATTCATTCCGCCAGTCGATAAAACCCGTTATTAATGTCATTTTGCATTCCTGCTCAACTGGACAGCGCCATTTCAAAAACCTAATTGACTAATTGCGCTTAAAGAAAATTTTTATGATAGTCACAGTTATGATTATTCCTACCACTTACCCAAATTATCTGTCTTAAAAACAGAAAAATTGAGGAAGACAATCTTTTGACACTACCTCAGTGGTGGCGAGGAAAAGATTTGAGTCTCTTTTAGAAATGAGTTGAGTCTCCTATCGATAGCTGGTAAAATACAACAGAAAACGCAACAGAAGGTTTTTCAAAAGTAGGTTACCATTTTCACATATAGAATTGGTACTGTAATGCCAAGAAAAGAAAAATGTAAGCCCTACGGGTGTATAGACACACTACAAAGTGGTGTGAGTATGGCGTCATTTCCGTAACCCTGAGAAATAAAAATATATTTGTCGAAAGAAAAAAATATATTTCTCCAGAAAAAAAAAAATATATGTAGAAATTATTTTTCACCCGTAGAAATACTTTTGCTACTTCAAATTTTTTTTTTTGCTTTGGAGAAATATTTTTTTTATCTCAGAAAAAAAATTCGCCGTAGAAATATTTTCACCGCTCCTGACAAAAAAAAAATCTCGAGAGAAAAATATATTTCTCAGGAAAAAAATATATCTCTGAAAAAAAATTATTTCTCAGGAAATAAAATATTTCTCAGAAAAAAAATATATTTCTGCAGAACGGAGTGTTCACTGCTGCCAGCTTGTGCAGGCCGCTGGAAATGATTTCGACAAGGAACGTGGGATGTGGATCGATGGGTGGATCGTGGGATGTGGCGCGAAGTGGCGCGAAGAGTTGAATCTTTCGCGGGAAACTTCCGGCCGGACGTAATAATTGCGGAATAAAACGTCCGCGTTTATTCCGGGGAAATTAGGATTTTTTCAGCGATTGCATGTCCATCCGGGCAAATTATTTTCTCATAACCAGTGCGATGAAGCCAAAAGACACCATTACATATTCTTTCAAACAAGGATAACTAGGAAATAAAA